ACCGATTTGGGAACTCTGGCCCTATATCTTCTATACCCCACACCCAGTATAACGTTTGAAGATTCTGAGCAAATACTTAGCATCAACCGACGCTAGCTGAATGAATGAGTGAATGAGTGAGTGAGTGAGTGAGTGAATGAATAAGTGAATGAGTGAATGAAGCGTGCCCTCTCCAGACACTCCCTACTTCCGGGACGGGATTCATGCTAGCTACCCAATCTCCAGGCGAATTAAGAAGATGCCACGTTATACCATAATGTCACTTACATCACATGTGGCTGGGGACTCCGGGGAGGCGTGTGCAGCCTCTTGCGTGCAGACCCCAGATCTGCCTCTTCTGGGCTGTGTGACCTGGGGGGGCCAATTCACCTCTCCAAGCCTCAAGAGAGAAGTGGGTTCAGGGAGCACCTGATGGGATTATGGTAACACAAGATACTTGAAGCCCCCGGCTGGGTGAGTGCTGTCGGGGAAACACTCCGTAAACATCACCTGCCATCGCCTATTCATTTGTTACCGCTGATGCCGGGACAGGCACAGGCAAGACAGGGATGAGATGTCAGTGGCGAGGAGTACAGGTGCTCATTACACAGCCACGGAGCTGGGACTACAGGCGGCTGGCGGCCGCCTCGGTGAGCTACGCACAGTGGTGCGTGACAACCAACCACGCAACCCCAGCGACGTACCATAAAAAGCGTCCGTTGTGCTAACCTGTCTGTGGCCAACTGGAGCTCGGCTGAGCCAGCCTCTTGGCCGAGGTTCGGGCTCCGTGCGGCTTGACAGATGTTTGTTCAGGGGCTGAGCGGGCAGAGTTACCCGAAGGGAGTTCAACCCCCGCCACGGCAGAAACAGGCCAGGCCCCCGAGGCCTACGCTTGGGATGGGCCATCGCACACTGCTGCCCCAGGTGGTCCCCTGGACACATCCAAAGCTCAGGGGCTGTGGTCAGGCTGCTTACCCCTTGAGTGGGCCAGCTGCCTGCCCCCCCCCAGAGGGAACAACAGCAGCCGCGAAGCTAAAGGCAGGAAGGCGGGTGATTTACAGTTGCGATGCGTCTGTCCAATGCCCACCCAGCAGCCGGTCACGGGCGAGGTCCCCTCGCTGGCCCTGCTCTGCCCCCCTGGCTGCTTCCTCTCCCTCTCCTGCCACATTGGCTCTGGGTCAAAGCCTGGAAGAGGCTCCAGCAGCAGCGCCAGTCAGTTCGTGGGGACCTAGTCCCCATCTTCCCGACATCTGGACCTGCTCGGGGAGCCATTAATCTCGGGCAATTTCTTCCCTCACTTGATTTGTTTATTTAAGGAAAACAAGTTGCTCCTAATTAGAAGCACTGCTGTCAAGATGTCGGGTGCGTCGTAGGCTGCCTATTTTCAGACCTTCTGCCTAAAATTATACCTGTGCGCTCAACATCTGTGAGTTTGTTCCGCAACTATCCTAAGTGCAGGCTGCTGGTGGCAGAGACGAGGGCTGTGGCGGGGTTCGGGAGCCAGGGGCAGGGAACACGGGGCCTCGGAGCCCAGACCCCGGATGGGTGACCGCACGGTGTCCCGCGCCAGCCGGAGCAGCACTGTCACCAAATCAGCGCTCGGGAGGTGCGTGGCTCGGACCCAGGCCAGACCGAAGGGTGGCAGGGAGCTCTTTACCACGCACACGCCAGCACACACGTGCTCGGAGACACACAAGGGTTACACCGCCGCAGACGCGTTCCAGAGCACACGCGTGTGCCCCGAGACTGGCGCACAACCCCAGAGACACAGGCGTGCGCAGAAGTTGCAGTACAAACCCAGGAGCACACGTGGCAGGCACCGTGGGTACACGGACACACACGGGTGTGTACACGGAGACACACGGGTGTGTACACGGAGACACACGGGTGTGTACGCAGCACCACAGCCAGATCCTGCCACTCAGAAACACGGCAGGCGCACGGAGACACACCAGACATGCAACGCTGCACACAGGCACACACATTTGTGCACACGGGTGCACAGAAGTTTACACTGACACACGGCAACACACATGTAGACGCAAAATTGAGAGTGCCCTTTAACGCCACGCTAGGCACACGCCCAGCTCACGTTTACACAGGGCGTGCGCGGGAGGTGCCGGCGGGGGCCGCTGCAGTCACCATGAGGGGGACGAGCAGCGTGCACCGGGCACGGGCAAGGGCACGCACAGAGGCATGCCGAAAAGCACGCTGGGACACAGGCGTGCAACGCGTGCCACAGCCCACGCTCGCCACCACACCCCCACGGACACTGACACCCCGCAGGCAGGCCCCAGCGCCCACATGGACGCACACGGAAAAGCCCACTGAGCACGCGCCAGCAGACCTGCCTGGCCCTCGCGCCCGGGCACTCCCAGCTCCCAGCACAGGTGAGCGCCTGCAGTCAGGACCTGCCCCGCCACAGGCACACGCGCAACTCACACACGCACAACTGCGAACGCCCCCAGATGTCACACGCACGCACGTTCACACTGACCCGCCCAGGTACGCGCGCCTCTTACAGGGGCGATCGCACACGCATGCTCACCCGGGGCAGGCAGCCTCCCAGGTGCACACGCACACCGACACGATTCACGCATGTGTGCACACGCGCTGAAGGGTCACGTGTGACTCACACTCGTGTGAGCATGTGTGCACAAACTGGAATGAGAATGCACTAGTTCTACACATGTGTGTGACACACACACACACACACACACACACACACTCTGTTCCTCCAGGGAAGCAAACTGCGTTTTCTGAGTCCTAAACGTCAAGCCCGCAGATGGGGCTGCCCCAACCCTACCGCACATCACCAACCCAGCCCAGGTCAGCCAGTGAGAGCTGCCCTCTTGGCCAGCGGTTTCAGCTGGTCAGCTTGCCCCCAGGATCCCTCTTCAGAGAGGGATATTGATGCCCCAAGTCTTGAAACCACTCAGAAAGAAATAAGACTGCTCTATTTACTGTCTTCCCCGCAACTTATGGCCCTGCCTCCACCCACCTCCACACATGCCAGGAACTTTCCAGGAGCCTGTTCTTCACAGCTCAGCCAGCTGGGAGCCTGACACCCGGGCATGTGAACTTCTCTGCCCTGGGTCCCTGCACCGCTGCAAAGTTGAAGCCATGGCGACAGCTCACCTCCACCTCCAGTCGTCGTCATGGTGATGCGGCAGCTGGGTGCATCCAGACCTCGGGGCTCCCCACTCACAATGCTGGTGTGTCTATGAGGAAGCCCGAGGGGCGGAGACTCCAGGTGTCAGTTGACTGGAGAGAACAAGGGCTCTACCCCCAGTCAAGGACCACCTGGTGCTCAGGTGGGAGAGCGTCAGACTCCCTGGGGATCGCAGCACCCAAACTCCCACTCAGACAGCCCCCCTGATGTGTCCAGGTAGCTCCAGCTTTCTCGCGGCTTCTTCTCTGTATTAAACACAGTCCCTGCACCACCCAGTCCCCAAGCGGACAGTGAAATCTCCCCTTTCGGTGGAGGGATAGAGACTGGAGGGCTTAGTAACCGGTCAAACAGATGTGCCTGAGACCTGGGTGGTTTAGACACTGAGTTCCATCACCGCTTGGGCTTTTGAAAACCTCATCTGTGACTGGGTTGGCATACACAGGATCATAGAATGTCTGGGACCTCGAGGACATGTGAAATCTCTTCCTTTTGCAAAAGCAGTTACTGGGGCCCAGAGAAGTCTAGTGATTTGCCCAAAGTCACAGAGAAAATTGAGGGCAGACTTGAAACTCAACAGCCTGACTTAGAGAATGGTCTTTCCAGACACCATCTCTCAAGCATGGGCCTCCAGACACCCCGGAGGAATTTCTGGGCCTCAGCAGCCTCGGGAAGCAGTTCCTAGTCTGGTGCCAGGTCAGAATCCCAAGCCAGAGCAGGAGAGCCTCAGATCTCCAGCTCCCGTCGCAAGAACTGTCTGGGAGCCACAGAGTAACGCGACTACCCAGAGCAGAGGCCCAGGACAAGCAGGGACAGGGGGTCTTCGAGCTTCACCTCCCTGTCTATCCCACTGACCCACCAGCCCATGGCAACAACCCCAGCTCTTCCAGCAAGGAAGCATGACACCATTAGAGGGCTATGATGACAGGAGGGGATCAAAACGGTCCTTGGAGGCCTAGTGGCCTCTTCGAAGTGTGATTTTCATTAGGAAGAAAAATGGCCTGGCCAAACTCATGAGCTATGCACTGAGCTCAGCTGAGCCTCTGGGCCTAGAGTCTGGCGGATCGCCCACATTCCCTGGGCTGGCTGTGGGGCAGCCCGGGGCGCCTACCTAGTTTCTGGTCCCAGCCCCTTTTCAGCACAAAGTTCCTACCTGCCCAGGTTCCCTTCTGCAGGGTCCGATCCAGCAGCCCCAGAAACTTCCCCTAAAGCCCGTGTTCACGTACAGAACTGCAAGGAAATGCAAGTGATCCTTGCCTTCGCTAGTGTCTCTGCCAAGGAGGTGAGTCGGCTCCAAAGATACTTGGGGCTGCTGGATTGGATGGACACCTTCCGGCTGAGCACAGCCCTGTCTGTCTCCAGTTCTCACCCTCTCCTTACACACACACACACACACACACACACACACACACACACACACACACACACACACCAGAATTGGCGCAGACCAGCCTGCAAAGCCTTGGACATGAAGCCCATCACTCTGGCAGCCCTGGGTGCTGGTTCCAGATGACAGCAAACCTCCTTCCCCAGAGTCTTACCTCCAACAGCCCCTTGTGAAGCCAACTTGGATTTTCTGTCCAGCTCATTCTCCCTCAGACTCTGAACTGGCCAAGAAGGGGGTGACTCATGAAGCGAATTAAAGGGGCCCACTACCTCCGCCCTGGGCTCAACCTGACAGGCACTCCAGCGCCTGCCTTTGGGAGCCCAACAGGATGCCAGGGAGGAAGGGAGGACTCCGAAGGACTCCCAGATGAGCAGGGGAGGCCGAACGTCTCACCCTCTGCCAAGGGGAGAAAGTTTGTCATTTACCAGCGCTGGCTGTCACCAACCACTCTTGGTTCTCACTCACCTGGCTCTGAGCGCTGAACCCCCAGTCGGCAGGGAGCAACTGGAACCAGGAGCCCAGATGGGGGGCAGAAATCGCTCCCCAGCAGCTCCCCGCAGGCTTCTTCATGGACTCTTTATGGAGCCCTTTTGCCCAGTCCAGGCCGGCAGGCAGCCCTTCCCTGAAGGGTTTCGGCCACTTGCAAACTCTGCTTGGAGCCCAGCCTGTGCCGAGGGTCTTTCTCTGCGACTCCAGCGTCCCGCTTGGCGAGCCCGCTCTGTGGGTGCCTTCCCAGCACCCAGATGCTGCAGTGGCATCAAAGAAAACGGAGTCCGGATTTCCTTTTTCGCAGGCGAGGCTTCTCCAGCCGGGCCCTGGCTATTTCCCCAGGGCTGGTCCGAGGGGCATCCTCCGCGCCTCCAGCGGGAAAGTGGAAGAGCGTGTGTCCTGGATTGCAGCAGCAGCAGCGACAGCGGCGGCCAGAGACGTGGAGGCGGTGGCGACGCCAGCCGGCAAGCTGGGGAGGCGGGCGGAGGCGAAAGGAAGAGAAAGCCCGGCTTCTGCGAGCCTGGCGCTCGGGCGGGCTGACCGGCGGGCGCCTCTGCGGGTGCCCCGCGCCACAGCGAGGCCCGCGCAGACACCCACCCCGGGGATGCCCAGGCCCCTTGCGCGCCGGGCACCCGCTGCGGCTGAGCACCGGGCTCCGGCCGCCTCGCCTCCGGCTCGCTGCTTCCCTCACTGGCTTGCTCCCCGGACTTCACGTCTCCAGCCCCAGCTCCCCGCGCCGCCGCTGCCGCCGCCGCTGCCAGCAGCGCGCCTCAGCCCAGCGCGCTCCTCACACAGAACCACAGCACTGCCTACTGCTTAACTCCTTGCATGCCACCTGGATCTCCCGCAGCCTCCCGGGGAGCGGGGCGCCCCGGGTGCCCGCCCTGCTGCAAGCTTCAGCAAGGGCCTGGGGCTCTGAGCCTCAGCCTCCTCATCTGTGAAATGGGCTCAAGAGACCCACGTCATAGTTATTTGGAGAATCGACTCATACGTTTGTGCAAAGTGCCAAGCCGCCTGGCATTGAGAAGGCGCTCAACAAATGGCAGCGTGGTTATGATTGCTGCTGCTGTTGCTAAAGAAGCTTAGCACAGTCTCGCAGATAGCAAACACCCAACAAAGGGTGGTTTGGCATTTGGGTGTTGGGTTTGTTGTCTTAACAGGCAGCAGCTTTCCGCTGGCTTCTGGCTTATCACTTACCTTCTCCGAGCCTGTTTCAGAGGTTCCCTCAGACCTCCCTGACCTTGGGCAAGTCTTAACCACCCTTCCAACCCCTGTGCCCTCACTTGCAAAGGACAGAGTTTCCAGGGAATCTAAACCACCTTCAAAGGCTCTCCAGGGGAAGAGTCCATCCCATGAGGTAGCAGGTGACAAGAGTCTCTGTTGAGTGAGACCCTCGCAGAGCCAGACACCTGGTCATCTTCTCACCAAGTCATGGAAGCAGCCCAGGAAGCAGCTAGTTCCCTCTGTGTTCAGAGAACAGAGGCAGAGAGTTAAGGGGCTCCCAGGGGATGGCAAGTAGGAAACAGCAGAACCAGGATCTGAACCTCCATTTTCTGCCTCCCCACAACCAGTCTCTGTTAAGCTTGAAACCCAAAGAGTGACTCTCAAGTAGCCATGTAGTGGGGTTAGCAGCAAGAATTCATCTGTGTTCCTTTTCTTAGAGCACAGTTTTCCCCCAACTATAACATTCATTCTTTTCTAGTGTGGATCGCTTAGAAAATTCTGAAAGTATGAGAGAAAAGTACATCAACCCTATTCCCACCACCCACAGATACTGATTGTTATATCATGATATAGTTTGCCCTCTACCTACATGTAAAAACAGCAAGCACAGAGAGAACCATCCCATACACCCTCTTCTCTATCAGAAAAGGTGGCAAAGGTGGCTCTAAATCCTTCCCTAAGGCTAAATCTCCAACTTACCACACTCCGACACCCCCAGATGTAATTACCTTACAAGCCCAAGACAAATCCTACCAGCTTGGGGATTTGTGCATTTCACCCAGTTCCCAATGGGCAGCTCTGCTTCCATCCTTCCCCTCCCGCACCCCACCTTGTGCCTTCTTGGAAGACCTAGACATTCCATTCCCTGGGATAGGGGACAATTGGTACCACACCCCTCTCGCTCCTGCCATCATGAACAGAGCAGGCCCAGGCGCCAGCCCCAAAGACACAGAGCAATGGAAAGTAGACCCTAAAGGTCCAGGCCACTTGGGTTTGAATCCTGGTTCTGTCTCTGGCAGCACCTTCCCGAGCCTGTTCTGCATCCATAACTTGGGGATATAGAAGACAGCAGGTCCCTCACAGTTGTTCTGAGGACTGAGAGATAAAGATAAGTGAATGCTCAATTAAAGGCAGCTGTTCCTTTATATTAGCAAAAAGTGATCTGAATGAAACGAACATTGATTGCTACAATTGTTGAGTCTGTACAAAGTGACAGGCACAACTTCCATTAATTCTTCACAATCACCTTAAAGGGTAGGTATTAGAACCGGCCCATTGAAAGATGAGGAAACCGAGGCCCCTTGCTGTGGCCCAGGGGCACACAGCAAGTTCCTGGCAGAGCTCAGATCAGATCTCAGCTTTTCTGCCCCCCACCCACTCGCCAGCACCGCTCCAACCGGCAGCCTGTACACCTCTTCGCACCCCAGCTCATAATCACAGCTCTGCGTTTTGGTGACATACCTCTTTCTGGGAGAGAACAAGGGTCTAGTACCTGGCTAGGAGCCCTCTGCAGGTCAGAAGGAGTCTAGGAGGGTAGTTAACTGACCTACCTCCCAGTCCTCTCTTACCACATCCTATTTACCCCTGCCCTTCGCCAGTCGCCCCTCCCCCGAGAAAGGCAGTGGAAAGGGCTCCAAGCTTGGGTTCAAGCAGGTGAATCCTCTCTGAAAGCCTATCAAGTCTTCCCGGCCTCTTCTTATGGTGGTTGGGATAAATAATAGCTTGCCCCTTCAGAGTAGTAAAATCTGTAAAATTAAATTTGTGACGTGATAATTACTCTCGTCACACAAGCATATGAGAACATCACATCCTGGAGTGGTTAGAAGTGGGAACGGGCCCTCCCTGGTGGTGCAAGGGGTTAAAGCTCAGCACTGCGAAGCTATCAGCAGTCACTGCAGCATGAGTTTAATCCCCAGCGGGAGAGCTGACCCACATGGCGCAGATGGCCTCTCCTGACCCACCTGCTGCTCCCCGAAGCAGTGTATTTCACTTAATCTGCCTGTTCTGTTTCCCATTCTGTCTCTGGTGAAACCTCTCACTGCCCCCTCACCACTGGCCTACACCCAGTTCTGGATGCATAAATAAATAAATCTTAAAAAAAAAAGTGGGAACTCTATAGACATGTTTGCATCTCCCCATATGGATGTCCCATTGACCCAAAACCACTGATTGAAAGAACTGTCTTTCCCCCACTGCTCTGGGGGGCCTCCTTTGTCACAAAGCATATGGCTCTTGTTGTATGTGCAGGCTGGAGAGGATTATTTAGGACTTTTGACTTCTATCTCGTTAGTCAATTTTGTCATCTTTATGGTCAACATTACATGGTGTCCATTACTATAATTTTATAAAAGTCCTAATATCAGTAAAAATACATTTTCTTTTTCCCAACAAGATTATCTTGGCCATTCTTAGCATCTGATTTGCATATTAATTTTGGAATCCATTTATGAGGTCCTTCATATAACAACAAAAGACCTCTGGATTGGGTGATACCGAGTCTGTAGGTCAATTTAGGGAGACTTTCCAATGTTACGATAATGAGTTTTCCAATCCAGTTACCTTATAGTATACACAAACCTACCCGCTAGGGTTACAGATCTAATGCAAACAGCAAAACAGCAAAGCTTCCCGAAGCCCATAGTGGAGACAATCTTTATAACCTTGGGGTAAGAAAGATTTCTTTTGAAAAGGGAAAAACACTGATATATTGCATTAAAATTATAATAATGTCTCACTAAAATACACGATTAAGAGAGTGAAAAGTCAAGTCACAGAGGGGGAGCAGATATTTTCAGCATCCATTATTATAGACCCCTATCTAGAATTTACAAAAAAAAATTGTACATATCAATAAGCAAAAGACAGGCAACCCCACCAAATGGTCAAGAAAGTGGGACAGATGCTTCACAAAAGGGGATTTTTCAGAGAACCAATTAACTTGTTAAAAGAACCAATGAACTAATTAGAAATCAGGAACATATCTATTAAAATGAGAGGAGCTATTACAAAGACTGCCAATCCCAAGTGCTGGTGAGAATGTGGAACAACTGGAAATTGAATATTCTGCTGATAGGAGTGTAAGTTGTTACACTTTGGAAACATGTGTGACATTATCTACTAAGGCAGGATACCTACCCCATGATTAGCATTTCTACTCTTAGGTGTCTGTCCCACAGAAATGTGTGCTTATGTCCACCAATAAACATGAAAAAGAATGTATACAATAGGAAATTTTGCTCCTTACGATAGTAACTTTTTAAGTAATTCCAAACCTAGAGTGGGTTCGCTGGGTATGGTCACGTGATGGTGGAATACTATACAGCAATGAATGTGAATGAAGTCCAGCTAAACACATTCATGGGGGAATGCAGAAAGTACAATGTTAAGTAATAGAAACTAGACTCTAAGAGGACTTACTGTACAAGTTCACTTCCTAACATTCAAATAGGCAACTCAGCATGTTGGAGGATGATAAGAATTGGACTTGGGAGGAAGCACATGAGGTGTCTGGAATGCTGGGCAATTTTTCTTTCTTGACCTGATTGGTATTTGTGATATCTTTTTGATCCATACTTTATATATCAAGTACTTTTCTGTACACGTGCTGAAACTTAACTTTTGAAGAAGCTGTTGTTTAGTGATTTTTCTTAAGTAAAATAAAACAGGGTTCAAACCTAGGTTTAGCTACTTTCTGGCTACATAACCATGATTGAGTTATTTTATCTCACTGAGCCTCACCCACAAAGAGGGAATAATATTATGCCTATGTGATAGGGTGGTATAAGAGTGAAAACGTGCCCAGTGAAATAACAGGTGCAAAGCAAGTCACCTGTGCTCAGCTAATATCAATGGGTGATGATCACAAATCTTCTAGGGCCTGGTCTATGTTTCAGAGTAAAAGCTCATCTGAGGAACAATGGTGAGGACTGAATTTAAACCTCAGCAAGGGATTCCCAGTTGAGTACAGGTTAAATTTTTAGAATAAATCTGTGTCTTTCCAGACACATACATATGTCAAAACTTCCCTCTAGAATTCCAATTTCACTGTGTGCCCTCTGCTTTTTTGTTGTTGTTGTTGTTGTTTAAGATTTATTTATTTATGCATATAGAACTGGGGTACAGGCAGAGGTACAGGGGCGGTGAGAGGATTCACCAGAGACAGAGTGGGGAGCAGAACAGGCAGATCGACGAAGTACACTGCCGAGGGGAGCAGCGGGCGGGTCAGGGGAAGTCTGCGGCGCCATGTGGGTCACCTCCGAGCCTGGGGATCGAACTTGCACTGAAGCGATTGCGGCCAGCTTGCAGTGCTGCGTCCTAACCCGTTGCGCCACCAGGGAGGCCCCTTGTGTGTCCTCTGCGTTTATTTGTTGAACCTTGCAGTCCTAGCCCTCTGTTACCAACTGCACGCCCTAGTTGCCTGAACGCTTTGGTGTTGGTTGCTTA